AATTAATAATATTATATAAATCCTAGTTATAAAATTAAAATTAACTTAACTGGTTGATTTAAGGTATGAACTAGTTTGAGTTTAAAAAAATAGAGAAAGGATTGACTCGACTTAGTATGGTTAAAAAATCAGGTCAACACTATATAAAACACAAGTAAAAAACCCATTGATGTTTTTGAAAGAAAAATTAAAATTTATAGTTTAACCGAATTAACCCTCCCAGCCAATTACCTGAACCCTTCCTGGGGTCAACTCTTGAGATAAGTTTTAAAGTTATAATAATATTGTTTTTATTCATATATTGACTCGATTCAACCCGTGTTGATCCTCCCAACATGTGACCTGGGCCTTATCCTAGTCGACCACCGAGCGAGGTTTTAAAATTATGATAATAACAATTTTGATCTTTATATTAACTCGGGTCAACCTGAGTTGGTTCTCATGATTTGTGAATGAGGTTTTGCCCCGAGTTGATCCTCGAATTAAGTTTTAAAACTATGACAGTAACAACTTTTATTTTATGTAGACCCGAGTCAATTTGGGTTAATCCTCCTAACACATCATAACTAAGGTCTTATCCTGTGTCAAATCTTGATTTAGGTTTTAAAAGTATGATAATAATTATTTTTATTCATGTATTTATTCGGGTCAACCCAACTTTTAACCCCAATTTTATTCTAAATCGATCTCAAGTCGAGTTTTAAAATTACAATAATAATTGTGTTATGCTTATACATTTTAAAATCGAGAGTTTTTTTATAAGGATATTTTAAAAATAAAAAAAATATAAATATTATCTCTAAGATATATAATCTTTGTATCTTTTATTTTTAAAATATAAAAATCCAATACAAAATTATTACCAAGAAAAAATTATTTTTATCTATTTATATATCTCTTCGACCAGCTACATTTATGTCTTCACCATCTTCATCCCTTGGTTACTTTACTGTGGAAACCAAGACACCATGCATAGTCATTTATTTTGGTGGTGTTTAGCATTGAATATAATTGTATTTTTAAAACTTGTTGATATTTTTAATTTTAATTTTAAATTATTTCGATATATTAATATATTTTTTATAATATATTTACAAATAAAAAAAATACTTAAAAAATAAACTTTTAACCCACTCACAAAAAGTAAATCTGTCGCTAGCACAAAAAAAGTCAAACCTGCAATTCAACAAGTCCTTGGGTAACAGAGCCCCGAGTGCCCATCTGCTTTTTTATTTGGTATTTATCACATAAATTTAACCGCATCTGCCAATCTTGTAGCTTCCATTGTCAAGAAAAGATGACAAAAACATAGGAAAATAGATTTCTAAAAGGGAAGCAAATGGGCTCTCAAATGGGCCACCGGCAATCTTATCCACAAAGACAGCACCTTGTCTCATCTATGTCGAGGAGACGAGTCTGGCAATCTTGTTCGGCCCACCACCGGTTTACTCCAGTTTTAAGCTTCTACGGTGTTTGAAAATGATTTTTAACCCCCCCCTCTTTTTTATTAAAATTTATTTTTTTACTTAAAATTATTTTAATATACTAGTATAAAAATAAAATTTAAATAATAATAATAAAAATATTATTTTAATTTTTTATAAAAAATATTTTAAAGAACACCCGATAGAATACTTGAAAACACTTTTATCTCTTATATAGACAAGCAAGTGAGGTTCTGGCCTAGCGGTGGGAGAGGCTTGTCCCCTTCCTCCGCATCTGGGTTCGAACCTCACCATGCATGTTCGTCACTCCCGCGGTGCCTTACCTGTTCACTGAGCTTACAGGATGTTCAGTGGGTCGTGGGGATTAGTCGTGGTGCGCGTAAGCTGACCCAAACACCCCACGTAAATAAAAAAAAAAAAA